CAAAAAGGAGTTTGAGCGGGAGTTGGGGACCACTGTCAAAGACATCATAATGTCCTGCGAAGCTATACCGTAAATTACAATATATGATCTCAACGCTAGATAGGAATAATAACTACACAGTGCACCTTTAAGTCCTCCGCTGAAGCTGAACGTAGACTGGGCTGGTTTTAAACATGAACTGAAGCCATTTTTAAAGCCATGAATAAAAAATAAGTCCTGTGGGCATCGATGAATAAAGGACACCTGTCTATGTACAAATACAACATGTAACTTTGCAAACTAGCCTTGGCTACAGCACTCATCACCAAACCAAACATCCATTTTCTGTTCAGCCCTTTAAGGTTTTAGAAAATCCGATAACTCAGGTGCACTCACTTGCGAGAAACAAGAAGAGGGTGAAGGGGGTAAATGCATCCCATTGGTTTGTTGGGGATGAACGAATCCAATTGGTTTATTCTTATTGGTCCGCTCCAAAATATTTTTTATCCATTTTGGAGACTATAGGCATCTGGTCAAATCCATTACTATTTGAAAACCCTAAAAGTACTTGACAACTTTTAGAGTTTAGGGACGTTTTCCCACAATATTTAAAAAAAAAATGCGTCTGGAAAAAATCACTGACGGCATCTTTAATGTTATGTCATGGAATGTTGTATTTCAATGGCTTTTTATCATCACGGCCCTGGGACTACAGATGAAAAATAGGCTCCTTGGCTAATTCTGTCTTTTTTAACTTAACATGTTTAATCATGTGTTTATTAAATTGCATATACCCCTTTGAAATAAACTAAACTAAAACTGAAACTGAATGTTGTAACCCTAACCCTGTAACCTTATAACCTTATCCCAACCTTATAAAGGCCGATGGAGCCGATCTGCCCATGTCCGAGGAAGGGAATGCCCGTCTGACCACACTAAATGTTTCTCCTCTGCCATCACAGCCAGCCGTCCTGCTCTTTAGGCTGATCACAGTGAATCAATACTGCCTTCAAAGTCCCCAGGCTATGGCCCATCTCTAAATATAGGCCACGAGAAAGAGCGATCAACAGGCAGCGCACAGAGGGGTATCAGGTCTCCCACGCGCTCAGGTCGGACCAACCGAACCGCCTCTGCACAATGAGGATCCAGGTGTGGCGAGGAACACCACAACATGTAGTTTTAGCAGTTTGGTCTTATCTTTTAGAAGGCTTTGTCGCTGTTTGAATAACCCCATCATCACATTTCAGCGGCTGCACGACAAGAGAGGACAAAAGCGTACGAGGTTTATGAGCCAGGGCAGTAATGAATGTTTGTTGTGCGTGGCTTTTAGGGAAAAAACTGATTTAAGTCTAAGAAGTTGTAATCTAAAAAGGTAGCGTCTTAACCCCGTGTGGACCAGAGCGTATTGTAGCAGAGAGATTGAGTTCTGTAATGTGGTAGTCAAAAGTCTGGTCAAATATAATCAGGGGACATGCGAGAAAAACCAGTGAGTGGATTCAATTCAAATAATTTAATTTGGGTAAAAAAAACACAAATCAGCAGTTGGTGTCTCTGAATTCTAAACAATTGGTATCGGTCTCAACACCCACACGATGGACAGGACCAGGACCAGGACCAGAGCTTGAAATACAAGTAAGACCACGAAACAGGACTGGCTGCATTCAGTGGATTCAAACCACCCGGTTTCCACCCTCTGCACAGGAAGGATCTGATACTGTAACCATGGAAACGCCCAGCCAATCACCATCAACCATTTGGTGCTGAGTGCTCCTCATTCTTACTGTTCTGGAACTTTTGATGCAGCACTGTTTACCACCGATGTTTCGAAGCAATGCTAAGCAGGTACTAAAGGGACACTGTGTCATGATGGTCCATCCTCAAGTGGCTTCATGTCCTGGAGGAGATAAATGCACTTTTAAAGCTATGGGACTCAGAATGTGAGATTAGAATCAGAGGCTTTAATCTGGGATTATTCTGACGCCTAACCCCAACCCCAAACTTGTTATTATCTATAAACACGACCCAAATAAAAAGTGGCTTCTCATGAATAGAGTCATTGTGGACAGATTTTTAGAGCGATGAACGTGGACACATCCCAGATGTGGTCACCCTTTAACAGATGTGGTTTCGCCCTCGTACTGTTTATTTGATATTTTGAAACTGTGTTTTTTATTATAAAAATATTGGGCCTCATTCACGAATAACTTCGTAAGAAACTACTCAACTTTCTTCTCAAGTTGTCCTTAAGTAGATTTCTAAGAAGTCCCCACGTGGGATTCATCAACGCACTCGTAAGCCGCTGAATTGTTCGCAGCTGTTCTCTCAGATTGATGAATCCCATTTCCTCGTAAGTACAGCGCGCGTGCCAGGTGCTTCATTAGCATAGGTACTTAGCATAAGTAACCGCCCACTAATGTCCATATAAGGGACTGCAGGGCCGTGTGCAGACGCCAGAGGAAACAGCAACAGGCCTTTACACGGAGCAAAAGAGTCACCCAGACTGAGAATAAAGTTATAAAATGTTGACTTAAAAGTCGAAATATTATGATAATAAAGTCGAACTAGCAAAATTATGAGATTAATCTAAGAATATGATGAGATTAATCTCAAAATGTTATGAGCTTAATTTAAAAATATATTATGTATTATTTTAAAGATGAATCTCAAAATGTTTTGAGATTAATCTCAAAATATTTTGGACCCTGGGAGGAGATCCAGCGCGGACCAGCGCTGAGACCAATGCAGACCCGAGGAGAGACTGGAGTGACCAGCACACAGAAACCAGCGCGGACAGGAGAGACCGCATAGACTGGAGTGACCTAACTGGAGAGACCGGTGCGCAGAGACCAGCGCGGACCGAAGAGAGACCGCATAGACCAGACTTGAGAGACCAGCGCGGACCCATTGATTCTGGAAACAGTGTAAAAATCATATATTATGTATGTTATGTGTTACTGCTGGGGTATAATGAAATATACTGTTATATATACCTCACTCCCATCTCGGTGTGGAGTGAGAGACAAAGCTCTTTGTGACTCTGGTCTGAGAAAGGCGCTATATAAATAAACATTACTTACTTAAAGCAATTCTGTTGTTTCTTAAAACAGGGAAACCCATTTTTCAAAATGCAAATACTGGGACTGTTTAAAATCTAGTTCTAATAACTCTCACAACTGTTTGGTTTTATCACTGGTTTTTTGAGTCCATCAAACTGATTGTTCAGATGGAGAAGTCATGTTGTGACTAACCCTTAAAATATATGTATGTTTTTAATAGATATAGTCTGTATGTTGTGGTTTAATTTGTCCCAAAAAAGCTAAATCTACAAGTCTTTTTCTACTGAGACAAACTAAATGTACTGTATTATTTGGGAAACAAAGAGTTAGGTACCCCAGCTTTAATATGTATCATATTTAACACACATCAAACTGAGCTGAAACAAGATGGTTACATGTCCTCGAGCGGCACAGTGGTCGAGTGGATAGTACTATCAGCAAGAAAGTCCTAGGTTTGAATCCCAGTTGGAACAGGGTCTTTTTGAGTGGAGTTTGCATGTTCTCCCTGTATCTGTGTAGGTTTCCTCCAGGTGCTCCGGTTTCCCCCTCCACTAAAAACATTGACAATATTTAATTTCTCCAGCTTTGGTGCTGACAAAGCCGAGTATCAACATCAACCTATACTCTACTGGTCTATTTATTTCTTTGGTTGTACTGGTCCGTCCTGGTCTGTCCTGGTCCGCACTGGTCTGACCTGGTCTGTCCTGGTCCGTCCTGTGAAGTGAGTATGCAGACAGCTGTGATACGTGTGTGTGTGTCACCGCCCTGCAGTCAGCAGTGATACTCCTGAGCAATGTGGATTCTGTGTCATTTACATTTACACTGGAAACACAACAGAAACAGAAAGATTCACTTCTGTCATGTATTTAATGTTACTACTTTACTTGAGACAGAAGTGATGTAGAGTCTGTAGAGTCGTGTAGAGTCTGTAGTCGTGTAGAGTCTGTAGGGTTGTGTAGAGTCGTGTAGAGTCTGTAGAGTCTGTAGAGTCGTGTAGAGTGTGTAGAGTCTGTAGAGTCGTGTAGAGTCTGTAGTCGTGTAGAGTCTGTAGGGTTGTGTAGAGTCGTGTAGAGTCTGTAGAGTCTGTAGAGTCGTGTAGAGTGTGTAGAGTCTGTAGAGTCTGTAGAGTCGTGTAGGGTCGGTAGAGTCGGTAGAGTCGTGTAGAGTCTGTAGAGTCTGTAGAGTCTGTAGAGTCGTGTAGAGTCTGTAGAGTTGTGTAGAGTCTGTAGAGTCGTGTAGAGTCTGTAGAGTCGTGTAGGGTCGGTAGAGTCGGTAGAGTCGGTAGAGTCGGTAGAGTCGTGTAGAGTCTGTTGAGTCGTGTAGAGTCTGTAGAGTCTGTAGAGTCTGTAGAGTCTGTAGAGTCGTGTAGAGTCTGTAGAGTTGTGTAGAGTCTGTAGAGTCGTGTAGAGTCTGTAGAGATGTGTAGAGTCTGTAGAGTTGTGTAGAGTCTGTAGAGTCGTGTAGAGTCTGTAGAGTCTGTAAAGTTGTGTAGAGTTGTGTAGAGTCTGTAGAGTTGTGTAGAGTCTGTAGAGTCGTGTAGAGTCTGTAGAGTCTATAGAGTCGTGTAGAGTTGTGTAGAGTCTGTAGAGTCTAGGGCTGAAACAACTAATCGATTAATCGATGACTAATCGATTACTGAAATAGTCGACAACTATTTTAGTAATCAATTAATCGTTTTCTGGTTCACACGGACTCAAACAGAGCAAAAATGACATGAAAATGTAGTATTTTTGATTAAAACCGACTTTGTTTTTATAATTTCATGAATATCTGTCTGTCTCATCCAATCAGAGCAGAATTAGCACAAAGAGCCTGTTACAAACATTTACTTTAAGTTTACGCCATCAATACGTCCTCGAGTGTTGCCACTTTAGCTTTTTGTGATGAAAAAATAATTTTTTTCTACACAATTCACAGCCAAGCGATTACTCGATTAATCGTAAAAATAATCGATAGATTAATCGATTACAAAATAATTGTTAGTTGCAGCTCTAGTAGAGTCGTGTAGAGTCTGTAGAGTCGTGTAGAGTCTGTAGAGTCCTGTAGAGTCTGTAGAGTCGTGTAGAGTCTGTAGAGTCGTGTAGAGTTGTGTAGAGTCTGTAGAGTCGTGTAGAGTCTGTAGAGTCCTGTAGAGTCTGTAGAGTCGTGTAGAGTCTGTAGAGTCGTGTAGAGTTGTGTAGAGTCTGTAGAGTCGTGTAGAGTCTGTAGAGTCGTGTAGAGTCGTGTGGACCGAGACCAGAATAACACAAGAAGTTATTAATAACACAGTAATGCACAGGTTTAAAACTGCACCACTGATGAATGTGCAACAGAAAGCTTTGTATCCTCTACTCTACTCTACTCTACTTTCTACTCTACTATATCAGCTCTCTACTCTACTCTACTCTACTCTGCTCTACGCTCTACTTTACTCTACTCTACTTTCTACTCTACTCTATCAGCTCTCTACTCTACTCTACTCTACTCTACTTTCTACTCTACCAGCTCTATATTCTACTCTACTCTACTCTATTCATTTACAATACATTTACAATGTACAATATTTGGATTCCTTAGTTTACGTGACCTTCTGTATTTGAATGCAGAGCTTACACATGCAAATATAAGAGCATAATAAATACACAAACAACTGACCATGGTCGCCCTAGTTTCACCGTGTGTTGTGTATTTACAATATAAATATGTATAAATGCAGTTGTAGACTCTCACTCCATAAACAAATATGCAAGAATGTAGTTATTTTGAATTGAATAACAATAACTTTATAACAATTTGTCGTGTTCAGTGCGATTTAACACTTTACTAAAGCTGAATCTAAAACTGGTTTGTTATAGATAGGTTGCTTGGATACGGTACCAGAAACTAAAACGTAATGGAAGCACATCCAGGTAGAGTCAAGAAGAGCTTGAGGTTACTGTCATAAAGACTTCTCCATTATGTTCAAGATATGGCAAAATAATGTTGCAATCTATAATAAAATAGAGTCAGAGAGTTGGGGTCGAGGTGCCAGTGTTTCCATCCTCAACTCCCACAGTCTGTGTGGAAGCATGTGTGTGGTCCTCCAGTCCACACCAGTATGACTGTTTTTATTCCACTGGGAGGAAGTCATCCCTATTGATAGTGTAACATACTGTTTAGGATTTTACATCAGGCAGTTAAGTGGCCACCCTTGGTTATGCTGTTATGATTTGAATGTGAGAAATAAAGCCAGAGCCGGTACGGCTGCAGTTGGAAAAGCGTCTCTCGTGTGTGCTCTCAGAGCTAAATACATTTTTACAACACTACCTAGACCTTCTCGGTTACAATAGCGTGATTTGCGCTCCACGAACTCATACTAACATTTGGAACTTTCATTGAATTTCACTGGAGTTTAACTTTACTTTTGAATGACATCTTCTACTTTAGTAAGTGGCATACTAATAAGAGTATGCTTGTCAACTTGTCTGCTATCAGCCTCCGTGCCTTTGAACGGGAACAGCAGCAGTAAAAGTTACCTTTGCGCCACAGAGCTGCTGGTTTGTTGGTTTGGTGAATGGCTTCTGTGTGTTTACCTTGGAGCTGCGCCGACAGAGACTCCTGGTGCTGCTGGTACTTGAGCGCCACGGCCTCGGTCCTCTTGAGCTGTTTGTGCATCTCATATGAGATCATTCCTCCGTACAACATTCCACACACCACGGTCAGCAGCAGCAGACACTGGAAGATCCTCCGCTGTCTCCGGGAGCACGGCCCGTTCCCCATGGTGGCCCCCCACCCGTCCCCGCTGTCCAAGCCTGTCAGCCCCGTCTCTGCTGCCTCCAAACTTCGCCAACTCTTTTCCTCGCACGTACGCAGCACGTCCTGCGCGCTACCCTCTGTCCGTGCGCATCCCGAGGTCAGTCCTGTTGTCCGTCCTGTATTCAGTCCTGTGGTCAGTCCTGAGTGGTCAGACCATTACACAAGTTTACATGGTTTTTGCATTCGGATCCCTCACGGCGTCAGAGAATTGCGCACAGATTTCTTCAGGTAAAAGTTCTCTGGATCCTCAGTGCGGAGCGTGCGCAGTCCGTGCGTAAAGCTCCGGGCTGTAGGACTGTTCCTCTTCTAAAACAGTCGCTCAAACATGTGCAAAAGTCCAACTTAAAGCTTTTCCGAGGCCTTCGTAGCACCTTTAACTTGAGTTACGTGTCAGAGCAGCAGCTGCCTGCCATCCTACAGCAGCAGCCCGAGAGGAAGTCCCTCCCTGGAGCTCTGGTCCCACCCATAGAGCCATGCGCCTCAGCCACTGGCCGCCGCAGCGCTCCATCAAACACACACGGCTCAGGGGGAGCCCCACAACTGTACTCAGGTATCAGACACAGGAGTGGGGGGACAGGGCTCTGGCAAGAGTTTCAAACTACTTCTTTGTACAAAGGAGAGTCAGGAGTCGGACTGAGGCAAGAAACATGTTAAAATCGTGATAAAGCTTTTGTTATACTACATCCAGTATTATAGGGTCTGAAAGGAAGTTATGGTTTGTTTCAAATACATCACTTTACAATTTGTAAAGTGACTAAACTAAATTGTTGCAGGTGTTATATGTAAAGCAAAGACAAGATTTTAAATGTATTATCAGTGTGTGTAATTACAGAGTTCTAAACAGTCATCTGCCATCACAGAAAAACACATCCCAAAGATTTCAAAAATACATTTACAGAATACGTTTAGGTACAAATGTCACTAACAAAAATATAGCCAGCGAAATACACCACAGTACACACAGCTGCTTTATCACCGTATGAAGAGTACAGGAATATAAACATTGGCCTAAACCAGGACTTATGCTTATGTACAACAGCTGTTGTGGGCTATACAAAAATACATTGACTTAATTTAACTTTTTTGGCAACATCGCTATATTTGAAAATGTCTCATTTTGTAACACTATATCATATTACATTTAGCCATAAACCATTCAAAGTTTCTTTCATAGATAAGCTTATAGGCAGAAAACATGAAAAATAATTAACTTGCGACACGGGAAAGTAAAACATTTAAAATAACGTCTTATTTCTAAATTTTGTGAAGAAATGATGTTTTCTGGAAAAATACAGCAATGTGTAACCGTGTGAGTGGGTAACCTTTAATCACAGACTCACAAGTTAAATAAATATAATAAAAGCCTTATTATCCTATCCTGTAGTGTCCTGAAGCAACATGTATCAAAACATTACAATAAATAAAATACAAAGGTTTACGTCGTGATTAAATGGTTAAACTTGTTGTACTAACTCTGAGGTGAGATTAGGACATCATTTCAAAAGGCACTACGACTCCTAAACACCAGCAGAAGCAGAAACAAACTCAGCTCAGTATTTACAGCAGTTTGCAGAAGAGAAAAACTCAAATCAGACAAAACAAACCTGACCGAGAACATCTGGACTAAAGTTCTGTGTTCAGTGTTTGTGTGACATGAGCCAAGTGTCAAATAAAAAAACCAGGACTGAGCTGAAAAAGCAAAATATAAGAGCTCAGAGGGGGAGATCGTGGAGAGCGTTGGGCTATAGGACGCTCTGCTCCTCCTCGTCGCACAGAAGTGGCTCTGCTTCGGTGCTGCCGTCCACTTCCACGCTTTTGGATGTGCGTCGGTGTCGGTACAAGAGGAACTGAGCCGTGACCTGGAGTCGGCGAGATTAAGGAGAAGAAAGAAGACGAGATATATTTGGATACAACTTGAGCTACAGTCGTTACAACAGTCTGCAGAGGCGTCTCTCTCTCTGGCTTCATGTGTTCTGTCTCTCCCTCTTCATGTAATTTAATAATGCTCGTGACCAAATACAGATGTACTTTAAAGTATGCATCTCCAAGGAGTCTCTCTCACATTTATGGATGGATGGACGGAAAGACAGACAGAGAGACAGATGGATGGACCGAGAGACGGACAGACAGACAGACAGACAGACAGACAGACAGACAGACAGACAGACAGACAGACAGACAGACAGACAGACAGACAGACAGACAGACAGACAGACAGACAGACAGACAGACAGACAGACAGACAGACAGACAGACAGACAGACAGACAGACAGACAGACAGACAGACAGACAGACAGACAGACAGACAGACAGACAGACAGACAGATGGACGGACAGACAGGCAGAGAGACAGAAAGACAGACAGACGGGTAGACCAGCTGAAGAGTCTGTGGGTGAGGTTCTTTCTCCTTTCTGAGGGTAAAACTGCCCGTTCGTCTTGGCAAAAATCGTCCAGTTCCTGTAAAATTCCTGGGTTGCATTGCATGAACTGCACATTTGAGATCCACCCAGATGAGCTCAACATTAGTATTATTGAGATGCTACAGAGACCACTGTGTTTCACCTGATTATTTTAAAGAAACTCCTCTCTCTGTGGTAACTTGTAAAATAATAGTTAAACCACATTGTATCTGTGATTGAGTTTTTCTGCAGGCCGTTCGCTGTTAATGGTTCACAGCAGGCATCGGCCGATATCGAAAGCCACAAAGATCGGTATAAGACATAAAGAATCTGGATCAGAGCATCTCTATAAATGTCTCCCTCCACTTTGTGAACAGTAACGGACGTTAAAGTAAAAACCACAGCAGCTGAAAGCAAATCTTTTTAAGTATTAGTCCAAGCAGGAAAATCAAATTCTCTGAGTAAACAAAATGTTGTGTATCTGTGTTTGACAAATGTGTGTAAACACTAAAACTCCCAGAGCAGTCAACTGGACACAGTTCATGACACAGTGTATGTAACTTTTTGATCTTTCGAACTTTCAGACTTTCGAACTTTCAAACTCTTTTTCTTTCTCTCTCTTTCTCTATGTGTAGATTATTTCTACTAAATTACTTAAAAGAAGAAAAAAAAACAGTTCTACCTCAAACTACTTTCATTTGAATGAATGTAATTGAAACTATGGCATTTAACGCTCCTTTTCTCCATGGTGCTTGTCCTGGACTGGTCCTGGACTGGTTCTGAACCGGGTGTCAGTCATCTTGCTTTTCCACAAAAACCAAGCTCCTCGTTACCTTAGCAGTTTACAATGGTTTTTGCTGTATTTCAAGTTGTATTAAAAATTTTTGGACTTGGTAAAAGTGACAAGAGGTTTAAAAAAGATATATAATTAAAAAAAGTATAAATTACTTATTTTTCTTAGAAAATTGAAAAACTAAAATGTTTGGGGGCATATCTCAGAATTCCATTGGTTTGAATGGGAGCAGTCAAAATGACGGCTCTGTGAGGTCCAGTAGTTTTGTAGTTCTGTGAGAGCAAAATAGTGTCGATAATGCAACCTCCAAACAGGTCTCAAAGGTGGTCACATGATCCCAGACTGAGACTAGAGCGGTCCGACTGGTTTGAGCCATACACTACACATTTTTAACCCCTAAACAGTTCCATTGAGGTTTGTGTGTTGCTAAACTGACAAAGTGCTGGATGTGGAAGGATACAAAGAAGTCCAGCACGAGGACCCCCATGCTGCCGAGGAGCCAGGCCAGGTGGTCCATGAGGAAGACCCGCTTGGAGCCCCTGAGAGCGGGCAGCACCAGCACCACGCTCAGCCCATACGTGCCGTTGCCCATCATGGCCAGAGCGAACAGGAGGTAAGAAGTGCCCTCTGTGGACTGTCGCTGGAACTACACACAACACACAACACACACAACACACAACACACAACGGACGGAGACATAGCATAAAGTTAAAGTAAACATGTCATTTTGATCCCATGGTCAATAATATCTTCTTTTCAGATTCAGATTCAATTTATTTGCCATTTGCAGTAAAACCACATTGGAACACATTTGCAAAGTCCCCAGTGTGCACAAAACAAGGACATCAATAAAACAAGGTCAAAAGAACAGAAATAAAACAAACAAAACTGGAAACACTTGTCGCTGTGAAATCGATCGACAAAAACTTTCAAAACAAAAGCAAAATCCTCAAAGTGCTCTGTGTAATCTGATAACAGCTTGTGGAAAGAAGCTGTTAGCAAAGCGAGATGTCCTGCATCTCAGCGAACGATATCTTCTGCCAGAAGGAAGAAGCTGGAACATGCCAAGGGTGGACAGAAGAGTCATTGATGATTCTAAGGCTGTGTTTGCTCCAAACGCAGCCAAAGCCTCCAAAGCGTCAGGTTTACAGATAAAATAGATCCTGAGGTGGTCCCGCGCCTCTCGTGCAGCGCTTCTTCAAGCTTTTCATGCTTGAAATGTTAAGTTTCGAAATGTCAAGCGTTTAACAGGCCTCCCGAGTCTCCAACGCGGCCGACACTAGAGTTGAAAATGTTGAACTTACTGTATTTGCGAGCGTCGACCAATCAGGAGCTTTCTCCAACACTGACGTAGTGACGCATTTCACGAACAGATCATCAACTATGGAGGGCACATGGATCTGTTATTGGACAAGCTGATTGTCCGTGGCCAATAATTCAATTCAATTCCATTCAATTCATTTTTGTGAAGCCCTAAATCACAACAGCAGACGTCTCAGAGGACTTTACAAAGTTGTCAATTCACCAACACAGATCAGCAAACCAAAACCAGAAATGCAATAACAATAAAACAAACCTATGAACATCAAAGTGCACTACATTTTCCATAACGACCATGACAGAAATAAAAAGGACCTGGACCGACCCATGGGAAGACTCCAGGAGGACAGATCCTCAACAGTGGAGGACACGTGTTACAGTCTGTGCCCTTCAGAGCTGTACAACCCACGGACAAAACTACTCTGACAGAAATGGAGGAGGTTTGTGTCTCAGGTAAGTTATTCATACTTTCAAAAATAGTAAGCAAATCTGTAATGTTTGAGCAACTGCCAGTGCTTTCCCGCTTCCGAGTTGATGAGTTTATTCAGTGAAAGTTTGCAAAAGGCGATGGAAGAGTCTGAGAGACACATGGAAAGGAGAGCAGGAAGGAGCAGGAGAAGTTAGGGTTGCTTGGCTCTGTTCCCACTTGTTCAGACGCCCGTCCAGAACAGCGGCTGTCGTCTTTTCTAATAGGGCGTATTGATTCCATTTAGAAAAGGTGCACATCATGTACCTGATGCTTGGGTTTTAAAAATTGGAGAGAAAATTATCAATATCAATTTACCGTATGTATACTTACCGCACGCCTCATTGTAATTCAGCCAATTTGTGAATAATATATTATAATTATTCATTTATTTTCAGCACCACAACAGGAACAATACAGTGTTTCTGATCTGTGGATTTGAAACATAATTTGGGGCCTTACATTTTTATAAAGCTGAGGAAACCGGGACAAGAGGTAGAACATCGTTGCCATGTATCCACAGATGAATCCCGCCAGCTTCATGGATTTTCTATTGGTACTTAGACCCTGCGGAGCAAAAAGACACATATATTATGTGTATGGTATCAGTATGAATTAGTATTACACTAGTTAAAGCATTTACTTCTGTTTCGACTAACCTGAGTCAGCATTGTGTTACTTTCTATTATGACTTTGGGCAGAGAGAGGAGGAGCAGGGTCCCAGCGCCGCACCACACGAAGCAAAGCCATTTCAACAACGGCGTTTCTAAATCAGAAAGAACAAATCATTCAAAACTTCCAAACCTCTCTCACTCATCCAACAACGTGAGACAAAAAAATGAACCACTGTTATCCAGGATTATGTGAATGCATCCTTCTATTGTCCTGTTTATAAGTTGTGTATCTGTTGGATCATGTCCCATTGTGGAGGGCTTTCATGTGAACGTCTAATTTGTCAAGGAGTAGGAATTGTTTCTTACCCATAGTTACACAATACAATGCATGACACACACACACACATACTGTACCATACACACAAACACACACATGCTCTCTTTCCTCATCATACTTCTTCAATACTTCTTTTTCAAAATCAGGTTTGGACATGTTTTTAAAATCATCCATTAAAGGGGCTCTCACTGGTCTAACAGTCAATACAATTATACTTTTGTTGTTAAGAAAAGATTTGGACACAGCTCTGTCAGCTTTTGATCTTCAGAGCTGACGTCGGACACATTCCTGCTCCCTGTGTGTTTATGTGAACCGCAGAGAGCAGAACAGGGAGGCGCAGGGAAATACCCAGGGAGTGTTTTCATGTGATTAGGGCTGCTGTTTGTTTAGGTACTTGTTGGTGAAGGGCGACACTACAACATGAAAACCTGCAGCTTGTTTTCAGCTGAGGCCCCGTCCACACGTAGCCGGGTATTTGCTAAACCGCAGATATTTGTCTTTGTTTGCACCCGTCATCCACATTACAATGCATCATAAACTAATGTATAAAAAAACTCTGGGCAAAGTGGAGATTTTTGAAAACTCTGTTTATGCATTTGCGTTTTCGCACGTCACAGTATGCCCCCAAAACAACAACAAACAACACTTGCGACCTCTGATCACTGAAGAAGGATCTTACTGCCTTAAAAAGTGTTCGCTGCTGAGAGCGGTTCACAGCAGCGAACATCCTCCACATCAGAGAGCAGAAAAGTGATCACAGGGACTCACGCTCCAAAATAACCAAAACAGGACTAAACCAGGACTAAACCAGGACTAAACCAGGACTGAGGACAGGGGTCAGTGCTTGTAAACATATGTCTTCACCCTGAGTTTCTTCTATGACTAAGTGCCGCTAAAGAAGCACGGGCGTCAGCATCAAAGCTCCGCCCACTTCTGTGTTTTTCCCCAAGGCAGGACGTCAGAGACGCACATGTTTGGAATGTTATGAATGTTATTGAAGACGCAGATGTTCGGTTCTGTGTGGATGTAAATTTTTTTATAAACGGGGAGGGGGATATATGTGGTTTTAAAATTACCCGACTACGTGTGGAAATGAGCTTTGTTTTCAGCTGAGGCTTGTATTCAGCTGAGGCTTGTATTCAGCTGAGGCTTGTATTCAGCTGAGGCTTGTATTCAGCTGAGGCTTGTATTCAGCTGAGGCTTGTATTCAGCTGAGGCTTGTATTCAGCTGAGGCTTGTATTCCGCTGAGGCTTGTATTCCGCTGAGGCTTGTATTCAGCTGAGGATTGTATTCAGCTGAGGCTTGTAATCAGCTGAGGCTTGTATGTGGACTAAATGTACTTTCTCTTCAAATGTAGCTGAAAATTATACTCAACAGGAAGAACATGCAACAGTTTTGTCTTTGGTTGTTTGCACTTACTTTTGCTGGAGCTGTTTTTAATCTTATAATAGAGAAACTGTGAGATGAGGATTAAGTCGGTGAAGATGTAGAAAATCACAGCAACAATCTGAGTAAATCAAATCAAACATTTTAGTCATTTTGGTAGAATCATGCGTGGAACAAAACAGACAGAGTTTCTTACTTGGATTGGGAGCTGACCGGTGAGATAGCAGCCGGCGAAGTTGGTCAAATCACCACTGAAGAGGAAAAAGAGGAATCCAAAAGACATGGCCTCCTCCACTTTGCCGCTGCGATAGGAGGCGTACACCTGCCTGCACGGTTAGAACCAGGATACACAGATAATCATACTGTTTGGACTAATTACCATCTCATTTTAATTGCATTTTTTCATCATTTGCAAATAAAAAATATGTCAAAACCTGCTTGGATTTGGTTGGATTACAGTTGGGATACATGACTTAATTCAAAAATAATGAATGAGGTTTGCCATCATCGTCTTCTTAGAAAACATGTTTTCCTTTGCCCCCGAGAGTCTGTATTTGATGCTTTGAGCTGAGAGCTGATTGGTTGAGAGAGGGTGGTGCTCTTTTTCACTTTGTTTGAAAAAGCTGATCTAAAGATGTGACAGAGGTGAAAAAAAACATGTGAAAACTAGAGATAGAACCAAACTGTTTTAAATCCAGGAGCTAGTTACACGGATTATATACATAGCTCAGTGTTTGTGGTTTCAAAGTTAGGTGCCCCAGCTTTAATTGAAGACTTATCATTGGCCTCATAGTAGGTGAGGTAGTAGTTTTTATTTCTTAGGTAAAACAAGACGGGAGCCTTTTGGACATTACTGGCGCAACATTTGATTTTGTAGAAATGGAAAGATGCTGCTCCTCCTACTGTCCCACAGTGGAGTAAATATGTGTCATTTCATCTTAAAGATGCTATACCCTATATATTTTTTAATGAGTTCATAAAAATGCTTATTATTACATACAAGTTTTATTATAATCCGTAATTTAATTGAAAACTTGATCTCATTGATTCAGTTGTGTATGAATTCAGGCCGTAAAAAGTGCTGAGTAGAGACTTAGCGTGACGCCCGCTCTCCTCCAATCACAGAGCGAGGCTGCGTCCTCTAGCCTCCACAGCGCCGCTAAACACAGTAGCATGTTAGCATAAGTGGCTAGAACTCCTCTGGCTGTAACTGCTGACACAGCAAAACAGCCCAAACCACACAACAGTGAGGAAGAGAAGAGGGAACTAAAGCCAAAACATGATCAAAGAAGAAACCAAGCCCTGAACAGAGCTAGCTTACATCGTATCCTCTGGAGAGACTTGTCTATGGGAGAGACCTGCGGGACCGCCTCGGACTGTCTACGCTCGGACTGTCTACGCTCGGACTGTCTACGCTCGGACTGTCTACGCTCGGACTGTCTACGCTCGGACTGTCTACGCTCGGACTGTCTACGCTCGGACTGTCTACGCTCGGACTATCTACGCTCGGACTGTCTACGCTCGGACTGTCTACGCTCGGACTGTCTACGCTCGGACTGTCTACGCTCGGACTATCTACGCTCCGGACTATCTACGCTCGGACTATCTACGCTCCGGACTATCTACGCTCCGGACTATCTACGCTCCGGACTATCTACGCTCCGGACTATCTACGCTCCGGACTATCTACGCTTGGACCACATTCGGACGCAAAACTAGCGGTAATCTTTCAGTTATATATTGTGTTAACAGTGCGTTGCTTTTGTACCATTTCATCAGTGATTGTTGTACAGCTTAAGTTGCGCTAATGCTAATGTTAGCATATAGATCGCAAATAAAACTAGAAGGCTCCGTGGGATGAGAGCGTAGGGGAAATGAGAAGCCTCTGAGCGAGTTGGGGGCGGTGCTAAACATTCAAACCTTGCAGAAACGGGTATAGCTCCTTTAAATTGGAGAAAATTAGATTTGTTTTGAGAGGTTCAGAAAGAAAATTTGATGAGTTCTGGAAGCCTTTTTTGTTATTTTTTGATCAGTGGATTATTTGACTATGGAATACATTTTGTTTTATAATGTGCACTTGACTTGTTTAATTGATCTAATATTATTTGCCCCTATTGTTTGACACCAGATATACTATTTTTTTTATTTTATTACGGTTACTTTGGCACAGAGGGGCTGGGATTAAAAAAACGCTTTCGGCTTCGACCTATCCCTTCTCTTGTTTACTCTTATTATCATTTTTTTGTGTATAATTGTTTGAAGTTTGAAGTTTGATTTATTAAAGACAATGTGCAGTTACATTAAAACCAGATTTAGCACCAGCTTCTTTCCACCTGTAGTCCTTGAAAATACAATCATTTAACTTTTATAATAATATAAAGTTCAAATTAAAAGGTTACTAAAAAAACATTAAAATAAAAGTACAAGTTACTAAAATACATATTAAGTTATGTATATCTTGTGCATGTTTGTAATAAATGAACAAATGAAAAAAATAAAATCACAATCACAAATATTTATCAGAAACATAATCAACATTAGGTAAGGGGTGTGCAGTCCGTGTGCTGCGGCTGCGTGTTCTTACGGCAGCGTGGAGAGCAGGAAGCAGAACATGGAGACCAGGCCGACCACCACGCTCAGGTACTCCCAGCGGTTGTCCACGCACTCCTGCAGCAGGTACAGGATCCAGGGGGCGCCGTGCTCACACAGCGGCTCGGTGACCGGGGCGCTCCCGTTGTGTCCGTGTGAGGAGCCGACCGGCAGACGTCCAGAGGCCATCGCAGGCGGAGCGGCTCCACTCAGCATGCTCCTGTGTTATCTACCTGCAAACAGGAGAGGGCGCTCAATTCTATTCTACTGTGTGAGACCATAGACATTCTTGTTAGTTCCAGTTTAATAAAACATTCTGGGATGAACCAAGTCAAATAAAAATGAGACCAAAAACAGAATACAGCAGACCAGAGTCACAAAGCGCTTTACAATTGTTATTTTTGGGCATTCGTCTCTCACTCCACAGAGATGGGAGCGGGGTCGCCAGTACAGGAGGCGCATGCCAGACCTATTGTGTAGGGGAAACCGGAGCCCCTGGAGGAAACCTAGCAGACACGGGGAGAACATGCAAACTCCACTCAGAAAAACCCTGTTCCAACCAGGATTCGAACCCTGGACCTTCTTGCTGCGGAGCGAGTGTGCTATCCACTCAGCCACCGTGCCGCCCATACGCATCACCCCCTCCCCGAAAAATCTTGAAAACTAATTATTGAACTAATTATCAAACAAAAGCATGGGTCACTTTGCAAATACGGAGTCTGGCCAAAAACAAAAAGAGAAACCCCTATTTTATTCTGATATTCAACTTACAATGTGAAACTAATAAAAGACTCATTACACACAGAGTGAGATACATCAATACACATCACTCCCTCTCCTCCCTCTGTTTTGAAAATAGACTAATCAACATAAACAAACAAAAGCATTTGTCACTTTGCAAATAAGGAGTCTGTGTCACATATTTGTTTTAAGCTGAATTCCAGAAGTAAATAAACTATTGAATATTTTCTAATTTTACGGTTCCACTTTAGAGAGTTAACATCTAAGAGAAAGTGTGCACTGATCAACGGCAGTGCTGTAAATATACCATCCACAGCAATTCATTGTTTTTAGTGGTAGAGGAAACCGGAGCACCCCGAGGAAACCTTCGCACTCACGGAACAGGCAAACTCCACTCAGAAAGACCCTTTTCCCAGCGGGATTCGAACTCATGACCTTCTTGCTTCTTGGTGAATTTGATGGAATATTTCTGTCGGTCTCGTAGTCCCACAAAAAAGATAGTTTATTAAAACAAATCTAATGTCTTACTCTTGTCCTAAAGAGAATAATTGCAAACAAAAAAACAGTGATGACTTTGAGGTGCATTTTTTGAATATCTGTCGCAACTATTCATACACCAGCGCAGCACGCATTAGAATATTTACAGCGTCACCGCCACATCTGGCTACACGCATTAGCTTCATGTAGCATTGACCTAAACAGAAACAGACAGATGGATTGAACCACAGTCTATGGTTTGAAGGAAACATGGCCCGGGAACACTCTCATCCACAGTGATCTGCAGAGATTTACCTCCGCGCCGCGCGTAACAGCTCCATGGATGTGTCGCTCTCCCTGTTGACGTGTGCAGATCCTCCATCCCAGACTCATGGATCTGTTATCGGCCCAGACCCTAGACTATACAGACTGCCCCATCATCCATCCAGCCAACCACCACGGAGCGCGCAGCATCCGGGCAGTGGACGTGTGGCTTTCAAAATACAACTCAGACTCTGCTGCTGGACAGAAGCATCAGTGCAGAAATATATGATGCTTCTATGATGGAAAGACGCACAATCTTTAGAAAAAACTTCAGTCAATTTTATGGCTGTGAATACATTTAAAAGCGTGTATTCAGTCTGCAAGCTCAGTCCGCTGCATGTGGAGATGGTGAGAACACTGTCACCTTGTGTTTGACTCGGGAAGTGACGAGTATTAGATACACAGATGTCTCTATGTTTTGTTGTTGTTGGCCGAGAGCGCTGCAAACTCACTCAAATGACTGTAGGGAGAAATGTTTCAGCTCGCTTAAGCCTGTTTACGTCTACTTTAATTCATGTGTGTGTAGTTTGATGAACTAAAGAGGGAAACTTCAGTTCACCAGACTTGTCCATGGGCCGACAACACAGACAGAAACAGTATTTTTACTTGAATTTTGAGGCGTAAATTAAGTATGACATTGATAGATATTCGTGAGAGCTGAAGTTGGCTGAATGACAAATGTTTACTTTCTCACCAGCGCCATAGACCAGAATTTAATACAAGTGGGGACTGGACTCCTGCTGCGGACTCTGAGGAGCACAGGGACTGGACTCCTGCTGCGGACTCTGAGGAGCACAGGGACTGGACTCCTGCTGCGGACTCTGAGGAGCACAGTGACTGGACTCCTGCTGCGGACTCTGAGGAGCACAGGGACTGGACTCCTGCTGGGACTCTGAGGAGCACAGGGACTGGACTCCTGCTGGGACTCTGAGGAGCACAGGGACTGGACTCCTGCTGCGGACTCTGAGGAGCACAGGGATTGGACTCCTGCTGCGGACTCTGAGGAGCACAGGGACTGGACTCCTGCTTCGGACTCTGAGGAGCACAGGGTCTGGACTCCTGCTGCGGACTCTGAGGAGCACAGGGACTGGCCTCCTGCTGGGTCTCTGAGGAGCACAGGGACTGGACTCCTGCTTCGGACTCTGAGGAGCACAGGGTCTGGACTCCAGCTGGGACTCTGAGGAGCACAGGGACTGGCCTCCTGCTGGGACTCTGAGGAGCACAGGGACTGGACTCCTGCTGCGGACTCTGAGGAGCACAGGGATTGGACTCCTGCTGCGGACTCTGAGGAGCACAGGGACTGGACTCCTGCTTCGGACTCTGAGGAGCACAGGGTCTGGCCTCAAGCTGGGACTCTGAGGAGCACAAGGACTGGACTCCTGCTGCGGACTCTGAGGAGCACAGGGACTGGCCTCAAGCTGGGACTCTGAGGAGCACAGGGACTGGACTCCTGCTGCGGACTCTGAGGAGCACAGGGACTGGCCTCAAGCTGGGACTCTGAGGAGCACAAGGACTGGACTCCTGCTGCGGACTCTGAGGAGCACAGGGACTGGCCTCAAGCTGGGACTCTGAGGAGCACAGGGACTGGACTCCTGCTGATGCCCAGAGTCAGGACTAAACATGAGGAGGCAGCATTTCAGATGTGCAGCTAAAATCTGGAACAATCTTCTTGAAAATTTGTATAAGTAAGAAATGTAATTTTGTTATTTGTTAATAGGGTTAGGCGAAATAAGTGTTAAACTTCAGCCTAACCCTTTCGGTCAGTATATAATTTATAATTTGTGAATGTCAAATGTTTTCTTATTTTCTGCTGATGGCCGAAGAATAAACGAATATATATATAAAATGTAAGGCTTCTTTTCACACAATGTTTGAGGTTAAACCGTTCTGTTTAGCTGCAAACAACTGAGGGATTTTATCTTCACTATTTTGAATGTACTTTTGGTATTTACGATTTTATTTGTCATCTGGTTCTAGTTTGTTTTGTTAATCGCTCCGTGTATATGAACTGTGCTATACAATTACATTTCCGTTGCCTCTCCTTTCATTGCACTGATCTCAATGATGTCTTGGGGAAGCAAAGCAGAGGGACACATGGGCTGCAATTCAACGGTGCCATGAACATTGGGTGGAAATAATAACGGGGCAGAAAATGAATGAATGAACTATTTAAAATAAGAAAACTGATCTGCCAATGGAACAAGAAAATATGACTTGACAAGATTTCTAAGTAAGTAAGTAATCTCTATGTATATAGAGCCTTTCACACCAGAGTCAAAGCGGTTTACAATTGTGGGCATTTGTCTCTAACTCCACACAGAGATGGGAGCGGGGCCAGGACAGGAGGCACAGACCTATTTATATGAATTGACAAGATTTCTGAAAATAATAAAATAATACTAGCCTCAAATGACTTGATTCTAGCATAAAAACATACATTTATTGACTTATTTCTTAAACATTTTTGAGAAATGTTTTCTGAAACTATAGCAAAACATACTTATTTTACCTGAACAAGCAAAGTTGTCTGGAAATAAGTACAAAATCCATAAAACAGGCATTAAAACCTCACTGCTCAGACCTTTTTCTCTGATAAGATTATGAAGTATTGTTATCTAAAAACGAGTTAAATTTTCTGAGCTACATTCAAGCAAAACAAACTTGCCATTAAAAAATAAGCATCATTAATGTTATAGTAAATGTTGTGGCAAATAAAACTAACCAAGATTTTACTTTTTTCAGTGTGTACCTAAATCTCCCATCCCACTCACGAAATATTATGTCGTATCGTCTCGCACCTGTTGCTGGTGTGCCCTGTTGCTCCACACGATGGCGCTCGCACTGCGCTCGCTCTGCTCCGCTCCGCTCCGCTCCGCGCCTCCGTGAGCCTCTGTCCTGTTTGTGGAACTTGAAGCTGCTTTTCTCTCTGACCGTACGCGGAGGATGCGCGCTGGATCTGGGTCGCCACACACCGCCTCCCCATCTCCGCGCCTGCGTCTCTGTGCCCATGCACCTATACAGCTCAGGTAAGATCTGACTTTACCCGCGGACATCCCACCGTCTGCTCCACACATACCAATTCCATTCCGTTCCATTGCATTCCTTCGATGTCGCGCAAAAGGAACGGACCTGGGAGACACATAACTGGCCCCGAGAAGCAGCAGGCGCGTCTGTAGTGGACTGTGCGTATAGCGTTTTGCTCTGATTCTAAACACATTCATTGACAACTTCATCCAGCTGATACGGCTCTGAAGATAGGAGCGTGCGTGTGTCGGTCCCAGACATCGCTGCACACACGCACCAGCACCTGCCACGCTCCTCTCCTGAGCCCGGTGTCAATACTGTGCGATGTTGATTCTTTTACGCACACGTTGGGTCCAGGTTTCGGGCTCCACTGACTGCGTTTTACTGAGACCCACGGGGAGGAGGAGGACTCGTCAAGGTCATGGGCTGCGGGGCAGATGGTGGTGATGTCCCGGTAAAGGGAAAGGGAAAGGGCAGGCTTCTGTTCTAACTCCACGCACTTAAAGGTATATAGGAGGATTTCCCCAAATTTTAGGAAAGAACCGCCCTCTCCACTTTTCGAACTAAACTATCTGGTCTTATTTGAGGAGCACGTATCACCAGAATGATTGACAATTAGGAGAACCAATAGTCTTGATGATCCACCCGGACGTAGAAAATCCTCCTAAATACCTTCATCATCTTGTATTGGGACCACAGGGCAGACGAGGCCTCCTTACAAAAGCCTGTAAAAGGGTTGCCATGTTATATGAGAGGGTTGAAGGTTTTTTAAAGATATAAAAGTCCATTTACCTCTGTAATTTAACTTACAATGTGAGACAGATTCATTACAAAGTTAGATATATGTTGTTGTTTTACTGATAACAGCTTGTAAAAACCCTAAATTAAAACATCTCAGAAAGTGAAGATGGACTGACACTATAAAAATAGTTATACTTTGGTTTTGTATAATGCTTTTTTGGACACTCAAAGATGTTGCACGTGGCATTATAAACCACCATTGTAGCCACAGCTGCCCTGGGGTCAAATTAATATATACAGTCTATGGGTCAAACTGACAGAAGCGACCAGTATGTGCCATCAAGCACCACCCATTCGTGCACACACCAGATTCACAGGCAATGTGGGTGAAGTGTCTTGTCCAGCAGCAGTTGCAGAAAATTATGGCAAGGTTATTTGTATTGCACAGTTACACAAGGCAACTCAAAGTGTTTAACAAAAATATATATAAACTATAATACAAGGCATTTAAATTACCAATAATAGAAAAAGAGAAAATCCCTGCAGTTGTATATACAGCTAAACAGAACTGCTCCTCAGAGTCCCAGCAGGAGGCCAGTCCCTGTGCTGCTCAGAGTCCCAGCAGGAGGCCAGTCCCTGTGCTGCTCAGAGTCCCAGCAGGAGGCCAGTCCCTGTGCTCCTCAGAGTTGGTTCATATGGCACCAGTAACATGTGACAGTACTTTGGTGCGAGGCCATGGAGAGACTCGTAACAAACAGAGCTGCTTTAAAGTCTATCCTCTGAGCCACAGGAAGCAGAGACTGTATAGAGTCATGTAAAGAGTCTGATTCATGATCTAGTTTTTCATTGTAAGTTGATTTACAGAAACAAATGAATCTTTGGATTGATAATCTGTTGTTGTGCAATGTTTAAACATGGAGCAGTTATTATCAGTGTTGATGCTGCTCTCTGTGACAAGGACCATAGTTATCCAGTGCAGTGAATTATACAGTAAAGTCTCAGATTGGGATCATTTGACTGCATATGCAAGTCAAATGCAATTTATAAACTTATTAGAGTGAATAAGATCCCGGGACACGTCGGCGTGATTAGTGGGAATAAAAGGGTGTTGGCTGCACTCCCTCCTTCATGTAAACTACTCCCTGGAAACACTCTATATTCCACTTACGCATCCATTAACTCAAAAAATGTCGATGAAGCGACTTTCTCTACATGAAACTGTGAGTCTTTCCAATACTATGTGTTGAAATGCGTCAAATGATGAAAAGATCTGTCAGAAGATTCAGATTCATTTATTATTTTGTCTCCTGAGGGAGAAATATCAAGGAATTGAAGCTGGAGCAAGAGGAATGTTTAGCAAATATCATGGGCTCCGTCAGTGGCAAACATGGATCTATAATGATAACTGGATAGGGTATTACTAGCTTTCTCCAGAAAAAGTCCCATAGAACTCAATGTAAACTAAAACAGCTCGACCTAAGCTGACAGAGAACCTGACAGAGAACCTACAGCTTTCAGAAATATCGGATTTTGTGGGGATTTTAGTGTCCCTTGCCATCCTGAACTTTTTTTCTTCTTAAATCCTTCGGTTTTCTTTAAATCCACACTTTACTGCCACAAACTCTGCTCCTTTCCTTCCCGCTCTGACTCCGCTCTACCGCTGCTCTGATCAGCAGCTCTGATTGGTCAGAGCGCGGCCGAGCCCCTCTGTGCACGTGCATGAGAGCCACACACGCATATTTGGCGTAACGCATCACAGGAGCTTGTCTACTGCGCAGAACCTGGAGGACCAGACGATGCCCAAATATAGGCGAGTTCTGCTAATATCCTGGTCTCCATGAAGTCCCATGAGTACTGACCCCAAGCCATTCATTTGAATAGGGCGCCATCTTGGATCACCGGGGCTTGGTGGCAAAGGAGATGGCTAAAGCTAGGCTAAATGCTAAATGCCTCACTCACTCTGGCTCATTTTACATACGTCACGGCAAACTCAGATCCAATGGTTTCAATCTGCAAAAGGAGTTAACCCCTCCCACCTGTTTACGGAGCTCAATGGAGCAAATCCAGACTTTAGTACGAAATCAAATGTGTACCATGGTGTGGAAAGACCAAGCTAAAGGAATCATTACAACCCGTGCCATTATAACACGATTCTACCCCAGCTGATGGCACTCCCTCTCTGGGATTCTAGACCGTGGGAGCTATGAATAATGAATGGATTTTGGAAGGATGACTTGAGTGAGAGCGTTTTTTCTCGATTCGCGGAGCACTATCAGACTGACAGTGTCTCCACAATTGTCCACAACATACTGTCCCTGATTTACACATGACTGACAAGCTATTCAGTCTGTATGTTATTAGTATTATTACGAGATAAGATAAGAGAACCTTTATTGGCCCCACAGTGTTGCAGCAAAAAAAAAAAAAAAGTACAAGCAGCTGCTATTCTTCCTAGCTAGCTGTATTTAGTTATTTGTTATTTTACTGCATTTATTTTGTAAAATTGTTTATTTCAGATCTGCACAAATCACTGTACAAAATGAACAGACACAGATGAGTCCGTGGTTAGGTACTTCCAAATGTATCTCTTACCCTTTTATAAAGAAGAGTGCATTTTGTACATGTAGGTTGTAGCCGACCAAAGAATTTCAACGATGGTCGGTTCGATTGGTCGACTAAAAACTTTGTCAGCCCACTTTAATTCTTTACAAAACAGCTAAAGCGATAGAAAAAACAGGTTGCTAGCCTGGCCTTGCTTAGCCCTCCGTAAACCCTGGCCAATTACCAATTCCCCAAGTGCGAAATGAAATGAGTTGGATGGTATGGTAAGACCAGGTAAGTTTTTTCTTTCTTCAAGCCCAAATGAATCCTAAATATTCTCATCGTTGACGTTTTCACACATTAAAGCATTGATTATCCACATAAATACCTTTTGCTGAGCACTTTTGTCTCTATTTTAAGTCTCTGGAGACCGTTGATGAGAATGTGGCTCAGTCCACACAGTTTTTCTGCTTGAAAGAGATTGAACCGTTTTTCAAAACATCCGCAGAAAATACAAAGTAACTTTTTCTCTAACTCTGATAAAAGAAAGAATGTCAAGACAGATACAGGACTGTGTTGATATTCAGTCTCTCATAGTTTGGCCTTTTGAAGCATCATTGAAAAGTCTGAAGTTACAACGATAGTATTCTGATTGTGTGATTCTACTTTAGAGCAAATGTTTTTTATGGTGAGTTTTGAGGTCTGAGGGTTAATTTTTCCCGCATGCCGTTTCATTTCCAGTCCCACTTTGTTCTACTTGTGTGACCCCAGAGAATGTGGTAGAGGTGTTATTATTGCGTTGTAGGTCCCTGTTTGCTGCATGGACATAATCATAATAATCACGATAAAAACAACAGCAATAATAATAATATACATTCACAGCAAAAAGTGATAAAACATAAGAAAAGAATTGCTCAAAATTTTCTAAATTTGCCAACGGGACAAAGCAAAATTATCTTGTTTTAATAATATACAAGAAATATCTCTCTTGGAATAAGAAAATACAGCCTAAGACTAAACGACTTGTTCTTGTGGCAAAGTTTTAAGACAGTCAGAATGTACTCAAATTAAGATGAAAAACACTCGATTCAAGCAATTCTTACCTCATATTTTATAACTTTATGCAGTGACAATCCAGCAGTGATTCCAGCTAAACCCCAGCAGGTGGATTGCATCAGTAGTCAGTGCTTGTGTCACAGACAGGACGATTCTGGCAGCAAATGTGTGATTCTCAGAGAGAACATATTACATATAGTCCCTTTAACTTTTCTGGTTTCACATTTACTTTAAAGGAGCTACACCCGTTTCTGCAAGGTGTGAATGTTTAGCCCCGCCCCTGAACTCGCTCACAGCTTCTCATTTCCCGTACGCTCTCATCCCACGGAGCCATCTAGTTTTATTTGCGATCTATTTGCTAACATTAGCATGAGCGCAACTTCTTGTGAGCAACGCACTGCTAACAAAATATAAAACTGAAAGATTACCGCTAGTTCCGCGTCCGAATGTAGTCCGGAGCGTAGATAGTCCGAGCGTAGATAGTCCGAGCGTAGATAGTCCGAGCGTAGATAGTCCGAGCGTAGATGATAGTCCGAGCGTAGATGATAGTCCGAGCGTAGATGATAGTCCGAGCGTAGATGATAGTCCGAGCGTAGATAGTCCGAGCGTAGACAGTCCGAGCGTAGATAGTCCGAGCGTAGATGATAGTCCGAGCGTAGATAGT